ACACAAACAGACAAAAGACAAAAACGAAAACTTAAACAAAGAACGTGTGTCCAAACACTTATGCTCTACTATGTATATATATATATATATATATATATATATATATATATATACATGTACTGTATTTATACATATCATCCACCTTTTATAATCCACTCAGTGTTAAAGTGACCCCAGTGAAGGGAGGAGAGAGTCAGGCTGATGACTTCACTGAGATTATTGTGTTTAACTGAGAAGTAAAGCTGCTTGTTGTCGGCACAGCGTCAGCACTAACAACAGATCAGAAACAACAACATTAATATTTTCTGACAGCAGATATCAAACAGAATCCAGTGACTGAGTCGTATGAAGCATCTGTGAGCGTCTCAGCAGCAGAGAGGAGATAATGTTAGTTTCTCCTCCTCTGTGTCTGCAGCTGTCTGTACCAAAGAGTAGCATGACAGTCAAGAGCGCTCACTCTGCAGCAAAATCTGGGACCAAAACGTGTCCAGAGGAACACTGTGCAGCACACTGAGTAGGAGAAACACAACTGACTGCTGGACTTAAAGCGATGTGAGTGGATTGAGGTCTGACTGATGATGTGAGGGGCAGCTCCACATGTTCCAGTGTCAGAACAGGTGCTGCTGCTGATACGAGGAGAAATATATCTGCTTTATGTTTTTATCACCATATTTTATCTGAGGTCATGTTTAGGGTTCATTTACCAAAACAAATATCTCTGCTTTTATTGACTGTCCTCAATCATGTGTTTTGTGTGTGTCAACAGGACGTACCCAGCACACTGCTGTTGGTTGTTTTAATAAGATATCTTAATGTTTTTAAATGTCCATAAATTATAAACTCAAAGAAATATTATCTAATATAATATTTCTTTCTAATATAATATATCATCAAACTGGTGCTTTATTCAATTTAGGAATGTCTCTTACTTGTTTCTGCATATTAACTTTTTATATTCTGTTTCATTTGTCTTTATATTTATGGTGCATACATTAATTTCAACAGTGAAGTTTACTGTCGGGCTGCAGTGATCTTTTTGTTATTGTCATCACAATAGTAATCTGTGTGATAGAGACGCAGTGACAGGCTGAGATATGGACAGAGAGTGTAACTTATTGTTTTATCTTTGTGTTTGTAAAACAAAACAAATATCAAGTTATTTAATTCAATCATATACCTAAATTTAATTTAAGTATTTCTGACATTCTTTTGTATAACAAATAATTTCATTTTTTAAATCAAAGAATAATTTGTAGTATTTTATCAGCTGACTGAGAGAAACTTTAATGTGTGTGTATTAAACAGTGTCGGTGCAGATTTCCCTCTCGTGGTGCAGCGCTGCTCCTCATCATCATATTATCTTCATCACAATATCCCTCCTCAGTTCAGTGTGTTTCTGCTGACAGACGTGAAACACTGACTCTCACTGATGTATGAAACATGTTCTCTCTCAGTGTCCTGTGGTTGTGTGTGGTTATGACATCATCACTCTGAGGTGCTAATGTGACACCAGTTTGTCATTTCCATTAGCAGCTTCAATAACAGCAGCAGCCCACACGTCTCCCAACAGCTGGATGGGATCTCTTATCTGTAATTGAGGCCAGGAGGCGGCATGCGGCGGCGCGGCGGCTTACCTTGTAGTTACGGCAGGTGGGGTTGAAGGCGTTGGTGCCGCAGGCAAACAGCGTCTCGTCGTTCCGAGGCACCAACACTTTGATGTAGTTGTAACATTCGTCCTGTCAGGTGGAAACAGACTGATGTTACTGTGATGACACAATCAAAGAGACACACACACGCACACAGCTCCAGCCTGATGCTGATTGGCTCCCTGCACACTGCTGCTTATTACAGTCGGCAGAGAGGAGGAGGAAGAGGAGGGTACTCACACTGTTCTTCCCTCGCACTGTGCACTTCTCCACATCCTTCGTCTTCCAAGTCAGTTTCTGAAAAAGGAAGAGAGAGCCAACTGTCAGCTCAGACACAAGCTGCTTCGCTCCATCCCATCATTCAAGAGCCATTACCAGACAGCTGTGATGAAGATCTCATTAACTTCAAGAAACTGAGGCCCAAACAAACAAACAAACAAACAAACAAACAGAGAAATATGGGGATGTCTGCACACTGTGTTTCCTCACTGATAACAAACACACACACATTCAAAGGACGTCTGCGTGGCTTCACTCTCTGTGTGACCAGCTCTCACTTAGCCTCAATTAACCTCCAGACCACACACACACACACACACACACACACACACGACTCACATTTTATCTTTGATTTTACTGGTGCTGCTGTTTCGGTGACCTTTATTATTCTTGTGTCATTAAAATCAATCAATAAATTGATAACTGAATGAATAAATAAACCAATGGAAATAAAACCGACTCCTCAGATTCACATCTTTTGTCTCTTAATTTTGTTTTTCACTCTGAAGTTTATCAGCTGCTTGTTTCTGCAACACATTAAAATAGAGACGTCTCATACTTGGTGGCAGAGAGGTGAAGATTTGATCCAGAATATGATGCAACATTTAACATGTTAACGTCTGTGTGATAATATTAAATGTGAGTCTCAGTTTGAATGGTTTATTCCTCAGGGTCGTCACGCTGAAATTAATTTGAACGGAGCTTCTTCCATGACGAACACAGTTGCGTGTTGCACATGCTCAGTAAGTCGACATCAGTGCAGGCTCACTGTCAGAGGGTTTAATAACTCACTTCCTCTCCTCACTACGTGGTTTGGGACGGCACTCAAAGGGGCGGAGCTGAACAAACGTTTAATTAATATAATTATTTTAAACTTGAAACATTTTGTTGATGAAGTTTGAAAAAGTCTCCTCTTAGAAAATAATTAAAAGAAGAGATTCAACGACCAGTTACTTTTTTGTTTCAATACTGTAGATAAGCAAATGAACACTATAACTTTTATTGTACACCTTCAAACTGGTGCATCACTGAAACGTGAAGAAGAAAGGCCCTAACGTTCCTCTATTAATCCTGATATGAAGAAACTCTGCGTCTGACTCAGCTCGTGTTGACAACATGTTTGGTTGGTTTATTCACAGTTTAGCTTTTATCTGAATGATGAAGACATGAGGGACACGAGTCAGTCTGAGCAGCGACTCGTCTGGTGTCTCCTGCACAAAGAAAAAACTTTTCTTCAGACGCTCCGTCTTTATTTTCTACATGTTCAGTTTAAATGTTTAAAAAGGCTTTGATTCATTGTTTTGATTCCTTTGTTGACACTAAGTCTGCAGGAGATATTTGTTCATTGTTTGATATAAAGATGTGAGATACTTTTAATGAGTCTTTAAATCTCCTTTATTCTTCAGTCTGACCTCGAGTCTGCTGCTGAACTATAGAAATATATCAAATACCACATAACACTGTTGAATAATGAGATTATTTCTAATTAATGTTAAAGTTTTCTCCTGTTTTCAGTAAAGTGCTGAAACACAACAGATTATTGATTCTTCAAACTAAACATTTCAAACTGTCCTGATGAGTTAATGACAGAGGTTGATAACAAAGATCTGATGTGCAGTCCTGGTTGAGTCTGAACTGACAGAGGAGATGAACACACACACATCAGGCAGTAAGATCAAGTCTTGTCCTCAGTCTCAGATGGTGATGAAACCACACTGTTGAACGGACAAACCAAACACTAACTCTAGATAGAGACATTCATGTGTTCATAATCTGCAGCTCCTCCACATGAGCAGCATCAAAGAAACACTGACAGTGTTTCCTGGTGTAAATGAGCTGGTGTGTGTGTTTCTGAGAGGAAGAGACCTCTGTGGATAGTTCAGCTCCTCAACATCTGGATCTGAAGTTAACAGAGATAAAGGGTGAGCACACATTAACAGGTGTTGAGCGAGCGGCCTGTCTCAGACAGGAAGAAGAGACCTCTGTGGATAATTCAGCTCCTCAACAATCAACACTGAAGGAATTCTGACCAGGAGAAGTTTCAGCTGGCTGTAATCTGTAATCCTCCTGAATCTGACACTCTGACACTCCCAAACTATCACAGTCACTGATCGCCATCAGAACAGTGAGAACTTAATTATCCTTCATATTCTGAGTGGTAAACGACTCCGGCGCTCTGTGCTCTGCCCTCTGCGTCCACGAAGGGAACATCTCCTCAGCGACTTTGTGAAGATCTGCAGGAGTCAGCGTTATGGAAATGGATCCCGCCCGTCCACGCTCAGTTTGGTTTACTAATAATTACTCACGACCACTGAAGCCTGAGAGATCAGTGAACGAAGGCTGGGAGCCTGAGTGAAGGGATGGATGTGTGATGAAGAGGAGCAGCTCACTGTGGTGATATGAGTCAGTCAGAAGATGGTCCCAGTCTTTAATAACCCTGCCGTCACACTGCAGGCCGCACAGCTCCGGATAAACGGCTAAAAAAACCCATCATATACAAACATCCAATATCCAACTGCTCACACAACATGAGAGAAAAATAAAGATGGAGGAAAGTTCCCATGTCTGTGTGTCGCAGTCTGCAGCCTCATCAACAGTCTGGATCTCCTGACGTGCAGCCGACGCCTTATCACAGCCAATATCCGTGTTTAGCTCCAATCTAAATACAACCAAACAAAGTCCAGGCCTCTGAGGGCTTTTTTTTAAAGTGCAATCATGTTTGACAAATGAGATTCAGATAGGAAGGAGCACGCCACTTCAAACGCCACGAGAGCTGCGCTGCACCCGTATTGGATATAAGTCTGAAGAGAGATTGCTTAATACTTGAATGAAAAGGCTGGCGAGGGAGGAAAGCTAAATAATGAGATTAAAAAAAAAAAAAAAAAAAAAAAAA